CAGTGCATGTTACGCAAACATTATCATAGCTCAGTTTCACAATATAGACGTTATTGTATGGATATTTAAAAATTCGTGCAAGCTATGACTGTGTCATAGCTTGCACGATATTTTTAAACACCCGTACAATAACTAGTACATACCAATTGATATAAAAAAAAGGAAAAGAAATAGAAAACATAGGCTCACATTATCATCAGAGTTAATTTCATTAATTATATCTAGATGATCAATCAAAATTTTCTCTGGAATGAAGTCTTCACCTTCTATATATTCGTCAAATGAAACAGTATTAATATCTAATACATTATCATCCACTCCACTGGAAGATGTCAGTTCCTACATGTGTTTTGTCATAAATTTTGTTAAAAAACCTGCAAATTATACAATACAAATTAAATGCATTTACATACCTCACACTGTGAGGCAGATGTTGAGGTGATTGTGTCAAAATTAGTGGTGAAGATTCGTCAGTTTGGGTGGGATCAACACCATCAGCAGTAGTGGTGTTGTTTTTCTTCTTTTCTGAGCACCTTTTTTTTTAAAAAGGGAAAAGGATTTGATTAATCAAGAAGTGAATAAACATTCATTTTATCATAATATTTTTAATGTTGTGAGGAAGTAAACCATGTACAAAGTTGGCATTTTGGATACTAAGTTGCAACCACCACCATTCTTACAATAACTAACTAGAGTAATGACAAGTGGCAGGCAATAACCACCACCATCCTTAAAACACTTACCTAGCTAGTTCACCAGTATGATTTTCTTGTTTTCTTCTTTTGTTTTGATTATACATTTTTTTTTTTAATAAAAAAAGAAGTTTGTGATTTGATCAACATGTACACATTAATTATTTATCCTATTGATTTTTTTTTTTGGTAGGACAGATGTGAATTGATTTTTTTTTTTTTTTTTGGAACAATAATTTATTTTTTGACAGAGTCCAAGGTGACAAAACGTGAGTGTTGTTGTTTGGTTTGGCTTGGGTCTCCTAAAGAAACGTGTTAATAACTAACCAGAGGTACTTTTTTTTTTATTTGTATTGATGTTTTTATTTTAGCTTATAAATATTTTTAATTGGAAATCAAAACGTGGAACAGATCTTGCTGGGTAATTACAGGATTTTCATTGATAATACTTTGCTTTTCGTAATCAATAATAATATTAATATTATTATAATCACAAGATGTCAAGGCAGCACACCATTGAATATGAAACATTTCAAGTATGCAATGTTTGATTATTGAAATTGGCAGATGTTGAAGCATGCACACCACCTTGAACACTTTACAGCCATTTACACACATCTTCCTCATTGTGCGCACAAGGCTAATCTGACCAAGATTTCTATGATGATACAATGATGCAACAGAACTCCAGGGGGAGAACATGGCCCTGGAGTTTATCAAAACTGCATCAATCATCAATGATGCTTTCACTAATCTTCCCAGACCAGAGAAGGCTGCTGGCATGCTGGCCGAAAATTCACCTGCAATGATCCTACCTCTAGGGTAAGGATAGCTCTGTGACCAAGCTGTTGCAACTCTGTTGATGAATTGTAATATTAGGTGTGCATAAACATCCAGATCCATCAAAGCAACAAGAACCTGCAACTTGTTCCAAGCACAGGAGGTCACAATTCAGAGCAGGGTTGGTGGCCCTGAAATTGCATTTGGGCTCTGATGTTAAGAGGGAAGTTGTGTATAACCATTTTCCTAAATGCTCTGTTTCTCTGATACTAACCAATTTATGATTTTGGGAGGAGACTGGATGGGTTTTTGCCCAATAAGTCCTCTGTCCTGTTGGTTAAAATTATTGCATGATTATATACATCCTTGTCAGCAATATGGCCAACAAGAAAAAAGCCATAAAAATGGTTTGGATTTTGTTTGGTATGTTTTGTGTAAATTAATCATTTTCATATTTCTGTTTCTCTAATTTTTGTTTGATCAACTGAATTTGTTATTTAAATAAATGGGGGTAGGGTTGTTTGTGAGTTGGCATGCCATTGACAAGACAGGGGACGCCTTTGGGATGTACCAGCCAAACTCATAGAAAGGGATCTTTTGTCCAGACTTAGGGACACATGCATGTTAAGCACAGAAAATGTACACTATCAATGTATATTTTTTTCAACAAAATAAACATTTAAATAATTAATTGTTAAA